CGATCGGGACGGCTACTACTACTATGTTCACACTTCGCCTTCGTGCCAACTTAGAAAGACTGGGTAAGGGTAAGGGTTCGGGTTCGGGTCAGGGTTCGTATTCTATGAATCCAATGGAAACCAAATAGAAGTGCATAGAATAGTAAAAGTTTAATAGTAAACGAAGAGGGGGTTCGGAAACCCACAGTTTCGCCATTCGCCAATAAGAAAGCAATGCAGAGGCTATAGAGCTAATGGTACACGAAAATGAGGTTCGGAAGCCCATTGGTTCTAATACTACACGAAGAAGGGGTTTGGAAATCCACAATTTCGCCGTTCGCTGGTAAGAACACAATAAAAGGGCTTTAGAGCCAATGGTACACGAAGGTGAGGTTCGGAAACCCATTGTGAACGACGGGGAAACAGCGTTCCTCTTTTCCTGCTCGCTTTCCTCCTCCTCTTCCTCCTCCTCCTCCTCCTCCTCCGCCCCCCTCCTTTTCCTTTTCCTCCTCCTCCTCCTCTTCCTCCTCCTTCTCCTCCTGCCCGCCCCCCTCCTCTTCATCCTCCTCCTCCTCCTGTTCCTCCTCCTCCTGTTCCTCCCCCTCCCCTCCTTCCCTTTTTTCCTGCTGATCTCACCCTCTTCTTCTCCTCCTCCTCCTCGTCCTCTTCCCCGCCCTCCCCCCCTGGCCTCCTCGTCTTTCTTCCCCTCTCCGTCCCCTTCCCCCTCCTCCCCCCTCTCCTCCTCCTCCCTCCTCCTCCCTCCTCCTCCTCCTCCTCCTCCTCCTCCTCCTCCTCCTCCTGAAAACCAATCCACCGATCCGCATCTTGAACCCCATCCCCTCCTCATCCCCGTCATGCCGTCAGCATCGCACCCACCTTACCCTCCTACGTCAGCATGGTTGCCCTGGGTAAAACGCGCCCGGATCTAGCCAAAACGACGTCCATATGAACACGGCCCCCCTTCCGCATCCTCAACCCCATTTTCGTCCTCATCCCTGCCATGCCCTCATCATCGCACCTCTCCTTCCCCTGCACGTCAGCATGCTTGCCCTGGGAAAGCCGCCCCCGTATAAAACCAGAACGACGTCATTATGAAAACCCGTTCCCCAACTCGCCCCGAAATCTCATCATACCGTCTCGCTGTCTCCTAACCCCGGCTGGGGACATTCCGCGAACTTGTCTGGCGCCGCAAGGTAAAGGTGACCTCGTCAATACCCCCCGCGACTTCTTGCCGTTGCAAGCCACGGCGCGACGCCCCGAAATGCAAGGTCGATTAAAACACTAGAACAAGACACGAAGTGCGACCAATAGTCTTGGCTTGTCAAAACAACGACGGGTTTCAACTGAGGCCATGGTCGTGATCCTTGTGAGGGGTGTGCGAAATTGCGCGTCGGTGGGCCCTCGGCAACGCCCACAGTTGGACCAAAGGGCCACGATCCATGTGAGGGGTGCTCCGGCATTGGGCGTGGGTGGGCCGTCGGCAGCGCTCCCAATTGAGCCAGGGCCACGATCCATGTGAGAGGTGTGCCGAAATTCAGCGTCGGGCGGCGATCCCAATGTAGCGAGGTCTACGATCCGTGTGAGGGGTGCGCCGATATTGCTCATCGGTGGGCCGTCGGCAGCGCTCCCAGTTGGGCCAGGACACGATCCTCGTGAGCGGCGTGCCGGAATTGGACGTCGGTGGTCCCTCGGCAGCGCCCCCACTTGGACCAGAGGGCCACGATCCTCGTGAGGGGTGTTCCGGCATTGGGCGTGGGTGGGCGGTCGGCAGCGCTCCGAATTTGGCCAGGGCCACGATCCATGTGAGAGGTGTGCCGAAATTCAGCGTCGGGCGGCGATCCCAATGTGGGGAGGTCTACGATCCGTGTGAGGGGTGTGCCGATAATGCTCATCGGTGGGCCGTCGGCAGCGCTCCCAGTGGGGCCAGGACACGATCCTCGCGAGCTGCGTACCGGAATTGGACGTCGGTGGTCCTTCGGCAGCGCCCCCACTTGGACCAGGGCCACGATCCTAGTGAGGTGTGCGCCGAAATCGCGGCATTGGCGCGAAAGGCACGGAAGCCACGTTTACAACTACGGTTTTCGTAGTTCCCGTTTGTAGGAGTTCTATTGCGCTTTATACAAAAGAAGAGTACACGGAGGTGACGTTAGCAACGACACGAAGACAATGTGCAACCTTACTACTACTATTGCTTACTTTTGCTACTACGGCTACTACGGCTACTACTATTATTATTATTACTACTACTACTACCACTACTACTACTACTACTACTACTACTACTACTACTACTACTACTACTACAACTACAACTACAACTACAACTACAACTACAACTACAACTACTACGACGACTACGACCTACTACTGCTACGACTACTTTTACTACTTCTTCTTCTTCTACTACTACTACTACTACTACTACTACTACTATTGCGACAACCACCTACTGCTACTACTAGTACTACTACTAGCACTACTACTACTACGATAACTATTACAAGTACGACTACTACTATTACCTTGACTGTCGCCTAGTACTACAACTAGTATTGACACGAGTTTTACTATGATTTGTATGTTTTAAGTACTGCTACTTCTACTATTGCTACGAATTAGCATGCAGCTACGGTTTAAACTTACACTTTCTCTCTCTCTCTCTTGTGATTCCTACTGCTCGCACTATATTAATACTTGTACTATTCCTAGTACGCGTACTACCATCCGATCAACCACGGGCAAACGTTTTGATCCCCCCGTTTCACGATCACCTGAAATCCCCAGCATCAGCCCCCACCCCAACATGAGGTTTTGAACAGTTGTCTGAATCAGTTGTTTTTCCAAATTGAGTTTGAACAGGTCTGAAGATGTTCGTTATTCGATTCCGGATTCCCGCACCATCTCCATCCTTCCCTCTTTCTTCCCTTTCCTATGTTTACTACGACCACTGCGGTTACCAGGGATACGACCACTATCATTACTAGTACTAGTACTAGTACTACTACTACTACTACTACTACTACTACTACGAATACTAATACTAATTCTAATACTTCTACTACGGCTACTACTACTACTACTACTACTACTACTACTACTACTACTACTAGTACTACTACTACTACTACTACTACTACTACTACTACTACTACTACTACTACTACTACTTCTACTACTACTACTACTACTACCACTACCATTACCACTACCAGTACCACCATTACTATTTCTAATACTGTCACCACGACTACTGCTACTACTACCACTACTACTACAGCTGCTACTCCTATTCCGACTCCGATTAGTAGTATTAGTATTATTTTTCGCACTACTACGCGTACCATCCGTTTATTATTTTATTAGTATGCCGACGACTATTACGACTGTTACGGTTACTACCATTACTACGACTACGTTTACGAGTATTCTTATTATTAGTACTACTACCACTTTGTTTACTACTACAACGATTACCACTACGAATACTACTAACATCTACTACTACGACTACTGATCTACTACTACAACTACTACTACTACTACTACTACTACTACTACGGCTACTACTACGGCTACTACTACTACTACTATTACGACTACGACTATTGCTATTACTACTACGACTACTACTACTACTACTACTACTACTACTACTACTTTTACTACTACGACTACTACTACTACTACTACTACTACTACTACTACTACTACTACTACTTCTACTACTACTACTACTACTACAATTACTACTACTACTACTACTACTACTACTACTACTACTACTATTTCTTACTACTACCACCACCACCACTCCTACTACTACTACGACTACTACTACCTTTACGGCTACTACGATTACTACTACTTCTGCGACGACGACTACTATTACTAATTTGACACCTCGTATATGCTGCGACCCCGCAGCTCCGATTTATGTTCTCCCGAGGAAGATTCCCAAGGACGCAGGAGTGACCTTGGCATTTCCAATGCGAACGGTAATACATGTTTGACTTTTTGGCATTTCCAAGGAGATTGGAACGCAACAACGGGGCCGTCAGGTCATACTTCGCCAAGTCTTGGCAGGTTTAGTGATGAGGTTCCCCCTGCAGTAACACGGTGGGCATGGATCGCCAAGGGTCGTCCTAAACGCTGTTTAAGCGATGTCGTGGGCCGTGTTCGTTTAAATTTCGTTTTGCAGCGAAGGTGGATTGAAGACATCACGAGGGAAAACGAAATCAAAACGAACACGAAAAACATAATTTAGGTTGGTCTTTGTTGATCGCCGAAGCGCAGTCCAGTCCAGCCCCTTCCTCTCCCTCCGCTCTCGTCTTCCAGCCTCCACTGTCCTTTCCCCTCTCCTGGATCCTCCCCGACTCAGTGGCGCGCTGTTTCCTGGCGCCGAAGCGTCCCCGAGGTGTTGGAATGTTCATTGTGGCCGCAGCTGGTGTCGGCGCGAGCGGACCCCTTACACTGAGTTCGCGCTAAACTGTTCTGAGAAACGCTAAGTTACACTTTCATGCAGCATGTTTTGAATTTGTCGCAGCAGGTGATCCGCACTCCATTTCATCGTCCTCACCATTCCCCCCTTCCTCTGTCCTCTCATCCCTCACCCTCCCTTCCACCCCGCGGCATCTTCCTGCGCTTTCTCTTGATTATCCCACCCGTTCGCCCCTTCCTTCTCCTCCTTCTCCTCCTCCTCCTTCCCCTCCTTCCTCCTCCGCACGCTACTGATTATCTTGTCCTTCCAAATCCTCGTCTTTCCTAGTCCGCTTCGCCGTCTTCCTCACCTACCTCATCTTCCTTCCTCCTCTTCCGCTTGTCTCCCCCCCCGCTGCCGAACAGGGTCGCTGGGCAGCGCAGAGGTCAACCGGGCCGCGGCGGTGTACCGGCAGCTCAACGTGCGGGAAGCGGGCCTGATCCGGGGGGCAAGGGAGCCGGCCCAGACCGCCAGAGCAGCCCTTTCATTTTTTTCTCACCGCGGTATTGCTCCCGCTCCACCCTCCTTTCCCTCCTCCCCCCCCTCTCCCCTTTCCCTTCTTCCCCCTCCCCCCTTCCCCCCTTCCCCCTCCGTCCCCTTTCCCTGTCCCATTTCCCCCTTTCTCTCTTCTCCCGCCCCTTTCCCCATCCATGCAACCGTGCATCTCCTCCTCCCCTCCCTGCCCCACTCACGGCCTGCCTACGTCGGTCTTCTATCCCCTCCTTGCGATGTTGCCCTCCTGTGCTCGCAGGACCCACTCTTCTACATGCAGAGCACGCGCACATTCGTATTACCACGTCTTCTTAAAAGATGTGACTTGCAGTCGCACGTATTGCACACTCATATACTTCAGATACTCGCACGCGTACTCACCCACACACACACTCACAATCATCCCGATGTAGTTTGATAGACAGCAATAGCCTACCCCTTGATTCATCCTTATCCTACTCTTTCTGTTGCTCGTGCTCCAGCTAATCCCTCCTTCTCAAACCTCTTCGTCCTGTCTTCCTCCTCACCCTCGTGTTCCGCCTCTGCTTCCTCTTATGTTTCCTTCTACACATCCTCTGTCTGGTCTGTCTGGGAGAAGCAAACATGGTGGCTTGAGCAAGTGCTCATCACGGGTCCCGTCTGGTTTGTAGCTCAACAACGCCGATACCACCCCGCGAGAATGGTGGAAGTCTTGATCACGAAGCCAGATGTGATGGCATATGCAATCATAGACGGCGCAGTAGGCGCTAGCAAAAAAGCGAGTTTTGGTCCGTTTGCCATCAGGCTGAATACCCATGCCATATTCGATTGCTTTACTCCAGACTTGCGGGATAACCTGAAAGTGTGGATCTATAGGGAGGACTTCAGCTAGCAAGATGGTCACGCCGCTGTCATGATCAGGATCTTCGCGGTCTTCGCGACTGAGCGGTGTTTCCCTCAGCGCATGTGTGGGACTCGCGCCCCTTTTTAGCAGATGAAGTCGAGGATAACCGAAGGCATTTGACTGCGCATCTGACGCCAGAGTTGGAGGTTCACCGAGCCGTCCAGCGAGCCACGGACCCCTTCACCACCCGCTCTCTGCGGGGAAGCCCAGGGGTGCCCGGGGAGGCCACGAGCACTTGGCGGTCAACGGGAGCAGGCGCCCTCGCAGAGTGGACACCTGGTACCTCCTTTCATCATTTCATATCGATTGATTGACGGATTACCTTCGGCAACTGCCTGTAGCGCACGCAAGCTTCAGACAAGTCTCTTTTACCTGAAAATTACGCCGTATGAAACACTATGTTCGAGTCTTTCTGCCTGTGTAGTCTGATCTCGGCTCTCTGCTGCCTCCAGATCGATGCACTTGATCAAGTCATATCGATTGATCATCGCCCCCGCGCTGGGTCAAGAGCAGCTCGATGGTGCGCGCCCGCTCCCTCGAGCCGATCCGCGGGCACGACGGAGAGCTTCACCAGGGTCAGGGCCGAGGAGCTGCCCCGGCGTGCCGCGAGAGACCGCCACGAGCCCAGACCTCCGACATACCGTGCCCTCTTCACGCCTTTGGGGCCCTCGGACGTCCTGGCTCTCTCCTGGGTTCGGCTGCAACTCCTGGGAGGTCAAATTCTGATTTCGCCCTGGTCCGAAATTCGACTCAATCCCGCTCAACCCGGCTTAATCCGAGGCCCACCCCGGCGTAACGGCCCCCCAATGGGGCCCAATCCTTTTTTCATCCTCCCGATGAAAACCTCCCAGTAGTTGCCTCCTAACCTGAGGGGCGGCTTCGCATTCCGAGCCGTGCTTGTTACGACCCAGGGCCCCAGGGAGAGCGCCCATAGACCCGACGCCGCCGAGCGGATCCTGTCCTCGCGCGGCGAGAGGAGATCGGGGAAGGCAGGGGCGGGACACCAGACGGGCCTGCTAGAGCAGCAGCGACCCGGATGGCTGCTTTGCGCGCGGGGGGCTCCTGGATTGAGGGGCCCGCGCTGACAGGCGCCGGCTGCGGCTTGAGTCGAAACGTGGTCACCTCATTTTGGCTCCTGCTGTTCGGCGGCGGGCCTTGGGGGAAGAGGGAAGAAGCGGGCCTTCGCAGAAGGCCCGGAAGGTCTCGGACGTTCTGAGAAGTGTCCTAAGTTTTCCCCGAAGTCACAGAATTTCTCAGAAGGCGCGAGGGTTTCTGAGAAGCCCCGCCGATTTCTGAGAAGGCCTTCCCCTTCTCACTTTCCCCCCCAGGTGCGCCGCCGAGGCGTGCAAGGGCGAGGCTGCAACGGACTCTCAAAGGACCAGGCTCCACGGAGCCAGCCACCCGGCTCGCGACCCGCGAGGGCATCGCATCATTCTGAACACCACAGGCCGATCATTGATTCCAGGGACCAGGGACGCTCAAACCGTACGGGAAGAAGGCTTCACTGCCAAGCTGCAGACCTGCAGACCTCGCCATTCGAGCTCCCCGAGACGGCAGAGCAGTCGGTAAGCCGACGAACTGATCTCCCCACCCTCCGAAAAGATGACCGAACCTGACGCAGTCGGTTGCGTCTGATGAGGCCAGTCGCGCGCACCCTGGCTTGAGCTAGGGTCCATTTCAATCCGATGTGGGCTCGGGGCGGCCCGATTCGATTCGATTCCGATGTTCCGGTGATCCGATGCGCCCCTGCGTAGCGTTGTTGCGCGTCTTGGCACGGCCGATATGAGTCGATTCCGACTTCGTGCCGGTGCAGCCCGATACGATGCACATGTCGATTCCATCCGATTTACCGATTCGATGTTTGTCGATCTTGCTGTATCCTGAGCGAATCTGAGTTCATGCTCCACCACCTGTCGCACCGCGAGGCAGGCCCACGTACTACGCCTCAGCCCGCAGCACCAACCAGGGCAGTCGTGCCATGAGGTGCGACGCTCGAAGAGGAAGCTTTTCCACGTAAAACTCGTCTCTCTGCTCCTGAGCCTTACCTTCCTCCTTGCCATCCTGGAAGGAAGCGGAGAGGAGGGCAGGTTGTGGCGATGTGGACTAGTCTCATGATGACCAGATGATGGGGGGTGAGGGGTTAGTATGAGGATCCAGGTTACCTGCGGGGCAAGAATCTAATCTCGCTTCGCGCGTGCCGTTCTGGGCCAGAGCGGCTGCCTTTCTGCAATGGGGCCGGCGCGAGGCGCGAATGTAATTGTGAGTCGCGCATCGCGCTGCGCGGTGCACGAAGTTCTGTGATTTAGAAGAGAAATGACGGGTTTGGATAGGGAGACTGACGGGCATGGGGCTTGGCTCGGGACGGGGATGAGGATGGCGATGTTGCTGCGATCCCAGGTGCATGGGGGGGGGCCCCAGCCCTACGCAGTTGGGCGGCTGTCAATTCCGCTGCGATGGGGGATACCTCCCCGACAGTTCAGTGTTTAGAGATTGCTTCTCCTTCCCCCTTCCTCCCTCATCCTCCCCCTTCTCCCTCCCCCGTCCTTGTCCTCATTCTTCTCCATCCCCCTCTTGAGTTGAGTCTGCACCGATGTGTGCGCCATGCCGACCAAGAGGTTTGCCTCCATACCATCCTCCTTCTCCCTCCCCCTTCTCCCTCTCCTCCTCCTTCTCCTCCTCCTCCTCTCCTCCTCCTCCTCCTCCTCCCTCCATTCCTTTTCCCTGAATAACTTTCCCTGTCGCACCCCGAGGCCAGTTTTTAGGCCGGGCCGGGCGATCTGCCTGAGACTTCCTCACCATTTATGACCCTGAAGCTGAACAAGTGACAACAGCTTCACAGGGTGGAGGGCGGGTGGTTTCTAACCTGTGGCTCTCGCCTTAGCGCCGCGCACATTCTTTTTAACATGTTATAGGAGCTTCACGGATTGAGGGCGGGTGGTTTTCAACATACGGTTCTCGTCTTAGCGCCGCGCACATTCTTTTTAACATATTACAGGAGCTTCACGGATTGAGGGCGGGTGGTTTTTGACATGTGGCTCTCGCCTTAGCGCCGCGCACATTCGTTTGAACAATGTGCAAGAATTTCTCGGATTGAGGGCGGGTGGTCTTCAAACTGTGGTTCTCGCCTTAGCGCCGAGCACATTCGTTTAAATATATATATATATATATATATATATACGGTATATATACATACAACACTGCAAGGGCTTAGCGTGTTGAGAGCGATTCCTTCTCGAAATGTGGTTTTCGCGCCGCGCACATTCGATTAAACCATTTGCAGACATTTCACAGATTCCCATGATCAACGTACCAGGAACGGCGTTTTGGAAGGATTCAAGATTATGCGGTTATGCGGCGTTGAAGTCCCAAAATGGGGTTCTGACGCGATTCCCGATTGTCATAACGCAGCAATCAGGTTGATCCGTGGCGTCGAAATCCCGAAAACAATGTTTTGGCATGCTTCAGGATCTTCGAACGGTTGTCTTCCAGCGAGGCAGTTCCCTCAATGGAAATGAACCGCTGCAGGGGCCCATGAAGGGGGAGCTTGGAGGGAGGGTAAATTCCAGCATCGTTGATGACTCTTGGGTTTGCAGTGGTCTTCCTCCTCTTCCTCCACCTCCCCTTCCCCCTCCTCAAGTTTCTTTCGATCGAAAGGTTGCAGTGGGAGGGGTTCTCCACGCGCGGCCCGGAGTGATCTTGGAGGCGCCACATGCGGCGCGATGGCACCTGCAGCTTGGCGAGAGGATGCGTCGAAGCATGTGCACGTAGACGCGACCTTTTCCGACAACGAGTCGAGATTCGTTAGCGAAAGTATGGGGCCTCGGGCCACCAAGATGCAACGATAAGCCAGAAGTGGAAGGATCTCACGCGCAAATTGTCTGTTGAACGACGACGTGCTGCTCGACTGCTGCGAGGCCCGCTCACAGCAGAGGCGATCGACCTATGGCGCAGAGGGGGCGCACAGCAGAGGGCATGCGACTTGCCGGACGGGCGGCCCGTATTCGGCACGGGCCGACACGACGGGACGGGTGGTTTGTTCGGTGTGTGTGTGCCTCCAAGTACGGAACAGTGGT